CACTGAATCTGTGTTCTGAGCACTTGTTCAGGCTCCCCTTGAATCCGTGTAAAGTTCTTGCAACCACAGCATTCTCTGTCAAGGAATTGCAGGTGTCAGCCGCCATCATTCTTTTTGAAACCATGCTATTACTAATGTCATTTGATGATCCGTAGTTCTTGTACAGAAAGACAAGCATGCAAAATCAGTTCTTATCCCTATCCCACCCTTCTTATGTCATGTATGATTTTGTAAACTTCTGTCATGTTCTCCTTACGAAGGCTGAAGAACATTTCCAGTCAGACCCTCCAGAGCTTTTGATCATCCTTCTTGTCCTCCTCTGAACACATTCTGGGTCTAATATGTACTTTTTCAGCTGAGAGATCCAGAGTTGTATATCTTACTCAAGGTGGGGGTGAACTGTGAAGTTCTACAGTGGCATAATGTTACCCACTTTGTCCTCTATTCCTTTCCTAAGAATTCATAATGTTTTACTTGCTTTCTTGACAGTGTCAACTGCTGTGATTCTTTATTAACCAGTCCGTGAAGACTTTCCAAGATGTTATTTAGCTTAGCATGGCACTTTTCTCAGTGTTTACAGTAATATGGCATCAACCTACTTTGGTATTATAAAATGTCAGGTAAATAAGAGAGTCACATTCTCAGTCCTCCTAAAATCTACTCCATACCTTCTGTTTTTTCCCTAAGTTACTGAAATGTGTATTGTATCACCAGAAGAATATCAGTATTTTCTTCACAGTGGGAAAAGCACTTTGCTGAGTTGTGGTATTTTTCAAAGCAAGGTGTTGTTAAAAAATGAGAGTGTTCATAGTCCTTCTCTGGATAGGGAATGACATAGATACAGTGCATGTATTTAGCAAAAACTGCTTTTTGGCTTCCTTTTCCAAACTTTCTGGAACTTTCCCACCTTTGATAAATCAAGTAGCAGATGATCCTGTTGGCAGGAGGAGGATATTGTGAATCATGTCTTGAGGACAATCTAACATGAGATTCAGTTGGAGCTAAATCACTTGTCATATCAACTCTTTGTCCAAAGTTTTGGGATCTACCATTTCATGGCATGACAGAATCATAATCCTGTCATACTGTGGTCTCTGAGACGATCCAGTTGCATCCATTCCTGAAAGAAGACATTGTTACCAAGTCATTCATTTTCAGAGGCTGTCTCCTGCACAGCGAAATGATGTTACCTGGCTTCCTTTTCAAACCCTCTTTAAATCAGATCATGTAAAAGTATAGCACAGAAGTAGCATGTGTCTCCATATTATCTCAGCTATCAGCCATTGAACTTTGATGATCTGTTCATTTTCCCCTGTGACATTCGAACTTCTCCTGGTGCAAAGCTACCTTGCAGTATTTGTTCTTAAAAAGGATTAAATCCTGTGGAAAAGCTAATAAGTGGAAACCGGAATCTTCAACAGGCAGACCCTCTCCCATGAATTGAAATTCATTTGAATACTGATAGCTAGAAAATAAGTGTTTAAGGGCAAATACCTTTAGATGACAGCTACATCAACAGCCTAATGAAATTTGTAAAGATTTGTAAAATTCAGGTCATACATAGTTTAAGGAATCACTCCTTTCAACAGTGTTTGCCCCAACAGTTTTCCTGTCCCTCAATAATAACAATTTTAGAGGTTCCCAAGAATTATTTGACATTCCTTTTTCAAGAATTAGAAGCCAAGCTGTATCCTTTTCTACCTGTTTGTTTATTTTTCCCAAGACTTTGAAAATGTAGAAGAAGGACCAGTCCAAAACCTGTACTCCTTTATAGAACAGTCTACAACAGTATCATTGGGCAAGGACCCTAAAAACATGTTTTTCTTCATAGTACCACATCTGCCTGCCAGGAGTGCTGAATCTCATTGACGAGAGTGCAGAATCAATTGTAAAAAGCAATTTAATCATAAAATAGTTCATTTTCACTCTTAATACTTACTTAGATTGTTCCAGCATCTTATGAATAGAATTTCTTAGCAGACCTTGTATATTCATCCTCATTTACTAGACAGGCTACCATAAAGATATTCAGCTGTTTAAGACAATTGTAAATTTCTGACAGGTAACTCATAAATGCAGCATCCATGTACAACACAAATCTCAGCAATTTCTTGAAAGTAAGTCAGGAGAGGTCATTGTTAGAAGTATTTCTGTAAGATTCTGTAGCAGCCAATGAAAAATTATTGGTCCCCAGTAGCTCCATCACTTATGCTTTGTGCAAACTCTAAAGTTAAAGGTTATGAGTGCTATGGTGCTGTACAGGTGCGCCATGAATAGGCTTTCACACAGAATGATTCTCATTTGTTAAATTTGGAAATGGACTTTCTCCTGGCCTTAATTTTAATGTAGTTCTTCATATTCTAAATGGCAGCTGAAGGCAAGCAGAAATAGCAAGTAATTGATTTAACAACCTAAGACAAGTACAGGGAAGTAGAAAAGTTTGTCTTAGTGCTTGATGTGACCTGAGAGAGCTTCTTGAGACTTTTTTTCTAAACAGTACCTCAGCACCTTGGGCCAGCAAAGTGGCCTTTAAGCCTGAATGAGCATGACTTTTTTTTTTCTCAGTGCAAAGCTCCAGTATTTCATCTTTTCAAACTGTTTTACAGCACTCAGAGCAGAATTATATTGACAAGGTTAGAATTCATCTCCTAGAGGAGAATACTGTGCTCCTCCTGTTAAGTGCTAATGTAACATTTCTGTGTTGGTACCTTAATAACAAGCCCCAGCTAGCCTAATGAAAGTACTGAAAGCAAACAGTACTCAGATTTTATTATGACTGAAGTGACTGCAATTTGAGACAAATTATCCCTATTTTTGTTCCCATATCAAAACCAGAAATGCTAAAAGCAATTGCTACATGTTTGGTACAGAATTAGACTCCACTATCATTAACATAGAAGTAAGTGCATTTTTCATGTGAACAGCTCACGAGGGTCAAGCATCAAAGATATTATCTGCAAAATGGTTGTCAATAACTTTGTGAGTGAATTTTGAAATAAAGTGCCTGTAACCTGTCATCATTTCTTCCACTCAAAGTTGAGAGCAAGTGGATGAAAATTGAGCTTGTGAATTGAAGGTACTGTGAGTTATATGGCCGTATCGACTTCAGGCAAAATGACAGGTTTCCCTTGTTATTATTTTTGCTTTCAGAGGTCAGGCAATGGACAATATTACCAGTATATACTGTGGTGTAAGCAAATTGGTATGTAAAAAAAGTTATTATCTGTGTACACAAAGAAGATGGTGTAAGTCACTAATATTAAAAAAGTTCAATATATTGTCTCTTTATAAAAATGAGGGAGAAAGTAAGAAAAAAAAAAAATCTGCTGCCCAGAATAAGAATTTCAGCTGTTCAGCTGTTTGAACAGTTGTTCCAAAAAAAGAAATGTGTTCAGAGAGCTGATAAGTTAATGTAAATTCATACTTTTTGAGAGTATGTATATCACAAAAAGGAATTACTTTCCATAAATAGTCCTTGTTGTATACATAATAGGAGTATGACTATATGCATTTAAGTATAAAGTAACAGCAGACCTAAATGTGTGTACTGATTTTGGCTGCGGTGGAGTTACCTTTCTTTATAGTAACCTATATGGTGCTATGGTTTGGATTTGTGATCAAAACAGCAGGGTTTTTAGCTGTTACTGAGCAGTACTTACACAGCATCAAGGCCTTCTTTGTCTGTAACACTGCCCTGTCAGGGAGTAGGCTGGAGGTGCACAAGAAGTTGGGAGGGGACACAGCTGAGACAGCTGACCTCAACTGACCAAAGGGATATTGCATACCATATAACATCATATTCAGCCACAAAAACTAAGGGAAGGGTCCTTGGGAGGATAGCCATTGCTTATAGTCTAGGTGGGTGTCAGTCTGCTGGTGGAGAGGTGTTGAGTAACAGCCCTTGTATTGCTTGTTTTGCTCCCTTCTTCCTTTTTTCTTCACTTATTAAAACATCTTTATCTTGATCCACAAGTTTTCTCACCTGTGCCATTGGTGGGGAGAAGTAAACAAGTGTGGTGCTTAGCTGCTGGATGGAGTCAAGCCACCACAATGTATTGTTCCTAGTTTAAATCTCTAAGTTTGTTTTTATTTGTATTCAGATGAAAAAGGATTGAATATGTAACAACAATAGACAAGATAATTATTTTATGAACTCATCTTAGGTTTGTTAAGATTCAATGGTAGTGCTATTTAACGCACATAGGTACAACTAATTTGGATTGAAATGGCTACAAATTCACAATTTGTTCCTCTGTCTCATGGAAGAGTGTTTCAGTATTTTGAAACATCATATTCACTTCCTATACCTGTTAACGTGCTACAATGCAATTTATACTAAAATTTTGACAAACAGGTAAACAGAAAGCCTGTCCCCCTTCTTTAATACCATCAGAAGAAAAGGAACTCTGTTTCTTAGAGTTAGCGTACCAAGTTAGCTAATTAGATGTGCTAGTTGATGTGAAAACAATTTAAATATACTTTCTAAATGAGCTCTGCTGTTAAGAAGACATGTTTTATCTTCTAAGAGGATTTGTTCAAGATCATTTTGCTGTTCAGAACTATCTGAACTGTATCTTCACTGTATCTGAATTGTATCTTTAGTACTCCAACTTTTCAAATAAATCTTATATGCTTTCCTAACTAATTTCTGTAGTTTCAGTAGTTCCTACCATTTCTGTTCTTCAAAGACCATTGGTACGGACAAAAGTTACTGTGTGCAAAAAGACGTTTTTTTTGATTGCAGAATGAGTGCAAAATACATTATGGTAAATTTTTTAAATGGTACAAGCACAGTAGTAGTTTGAGATTGCAAAAATGAGCAGATATTAACTGTCAGACAAATTCAAGATGACTTTTCAGTAAGAAGGAAAGTTTAGAGGAAAAACAATCCCCATGAAATAACTGTATTGCACATACTTTTTCGAATATATCAGCTGAATATGAGCAACATTAATTTCTGCCAGCTCTGTAATATGCACAATATTTTGTTTATCTTTTAGGTTGAAGATTCAGAGACGTATCATGATGTAACTGCAGTGTGGGGGTTGCTTGATGTGGTTGTAATCTCCCACCTACCCAGAGATGCTGCCATTGAATGGCATGTTGTTGCAGTAGTTGATGATCCACTCCAAAGAAAACATTTTGCAATGAAGATGTTGTCAGAGGGCCTCCAAATTGAGTGTGAATCTGTGGAGTCTAGTTCTGCATCTTGTGCATCAATCTCTGTACGTCTGAGCTTGATTTCACCATCCACTTCTCAGCTTGATTTAGATGGACCTCTTCATGACTTAGTTGCTATGTTTAGACAAGCTGTTGAGAAACTTTCAGAAGACTGCAGTGCAAGTCCTTTATCTTTTAGAGCTTTCTTCAAGGAGGATGTCTTTGATGCTGAAGCACTACAAACAGGTAGGACTTACGATGACAGGAACCAGGTGTTAATACTAAGCGTAAGGTAATTTTTGTTTATTTCTATGTAAGGTTTCATTGGTAGAAAACATTTTAGAAGTACCTTTCAAGGATAGGTGGCCAAGAAGACCTATAGCATCCTGGCTTGTTATCAGAAACAGTGTGGCCAGCAGGACTAGGGAAGTGATCGTCCCCCTGTACTCAGCACTGGTGAGGCCGCACCAGTGAGGAGGTTGGATTAGACAATCTCACTCCAATCTGAGTTATTCTGTGATTCCATGAAAGAGGATTTGATGAGAAATCCACCCACTTCAGAGTTGGACACAGGTAGAAAGGTTGCAAAGGTTGGACTTGATGATCCCAGAGGTCTCTTCCAACCAAATCAATTCCGTGAGAATGAATCTTTTGCATAAAAGTCTTTGAACAGTTGTCCATTTGGTAGCCTATTTTTGTCATGATCTAGAACTATGCTCAAATAACCAAATTCTGTGTGCTAACAGGCACTTTTCTGAGAATAAATAATGAAATATTAATGTTTTAAAACAAGGAAATGGTGTTGTATCTTCTAGATTAGAGGGTGTCCAGTTTTTAACATAGGCTGATTTCTTACCAACTTATTTAAATAGAACTTGCTAACCAAACAAATTTGCTGGTTTTTCCCCCATGTTTTTTTTTTTTCCAAAATCTCATTCTCTTACCAAGTAAAGAGAATACAGAACAATAAGCAAGGCCTTTGACACTGTCTCCCAT